ATCCTCACTTAAATATAATTTATGTATATAAGTCAAAGTTATTAAAGCTTCAGCTTTAAGTATTCTTCTGTGCTAAGATAAAGAGACATTTTTATATCATATTTTGTATCTTTTGACAAGTTTCCTCAGGTTTCCAACGAGGTTACAATAAATTTGAGAAACTGTAATGAATCCCTGCCAGGACTTTTAAGATCCTCAGACCTTCTCACTGAAATGTCTTCATATACAGGAAACAACAAGCTTGAACCCAAATGAAAACAAGTATTCTTCATAGGCCCAAATCCTTTTCTGCAGGAGTGTTAGAAGTCAGGAACATCAGGTCCTACAACTTCAGTTTTGCCAAAATTAACATTTACAAAGCTCAAGACCCATGTATATGTGTCCAAGGAGTTGTGTAAAAAAATTCAGTGATACTGGTAGCATAGATAAGGAAACTCTGCTGAAAATACATGAACTTAGGATGTTCCTTCAATTCAAAAAGATAATTCCACAAAGTAATCAGGGCTTACAGAATTCAAATGTTCCTGAGCAGTGTTAAAACCCAAAAGTTCTTATCAAGTGACAAACTAAGGTATTTCTTTCTGAGGAAAAGGGCATACTTTCTTGTAATACTTTCATTACCAACATTCAGGAAAACTGTATTCAAAATTAAAAGTCTCAAATACAGAAACTTTTATAACATTAAGATCTAACTTGAAAGCTTTCCAAAGCAATATAAATTGGTGTCACTTCGAAAAATTACTGTGTTCTATGTTTTGTGTGATATAAAGTCTTCTTGTGTGCCTGCCATGAACCAAGGACATCAGAAACTGGTCCCAGAAACTGGGACCAACACTGTTTAAAATCTTTGTCAGCAACATAGACAATGGGATCGAGTGCCTCCTCAGCAAGTTTGCCGATAAAACCAAGCTGTGTGGAGTGGTCAACACACTGGAGGGAAGGGATGCCATCCAGAGGGACCTTGACAGGATGGAGAGGTGGGCCTGTACAAACCACAGTGAAGTTCAACAAGGCCAAGTGCAAGGTCCTGCACGTGGGTCAGAGCAATCCCAAGCACACCGACAGGCTGGGCGAGGAATGGATTGAAAGCAGCCCTGAGGAGAAGGACTTGCGTGTATTGATGGATGAGAAGCTCAACGTGAGCCGGCAGTGTGCGCTTGCAGCCCAGAAAGACAACTGTGTCATGGGCTGCATCAAAAGAGGTGTGACCAGCAGGTTGAGGGAGGTGATCCTGCCCCTCTACTCCGCTCTTGTGAGACCCCACCTGGAGTACTGCGTCCAGCTCTGGGGGCCCCAGTACAGGAGAGACCTGGACCTGTTGGAGAAAGTCCAGAGGAGGGCCACAAAGCTGATCAGAGGGCTGGAGCACCTCTCCTATGAGGACAGGCTGAGAGAGTTGGGATTGTTCAGCCTGGAGAAAAGAAGGCTCTGGGGAGATCTAATTGCGGCTTACCAGTACCTGAAGGGGCCTACAGGAAAGATGGTGAGGGACTGTTTATCAGGGAGTGTAGTGACAGGACAAGGGGTAATGGGTTTAAACTAAAAGAGGGTAGATTTAGGTTAGATGTTAGGAAGAAATTCTTCACTGTGAGGGTGGTGAGGCAGTGGAACAGGCTTCCCAGAGAGGTTGTGGCAGCCCCATCCTTGGAAGTGTTCAAGGCCAGGTTGGATGGGGCTTTGGGCACCGTGGTCTAGTGGAGGGTGTCTCTGCATGCAGCAGAGGGATTGGACCTAGATGATCTTTGAGGTCCCTTCCTACCCAAACCATCTACAATTCTGTGATTCTATGATTCTATGAAAGTGCGACAGTCTGTTGCTCATCACTGATTGTCAGTTTGTGCTACTATAAAGACCAGAAATATTCCCAAGCTCATGGGTGCTCTAGCTTCTGCTTTGAGGGAAGTCCGGTTCTTCAGATGTATGATCTGCAGGTAACACAAAAGTGTCTACTACACAACCTGCTAATGTATGTGAGGGCTGGGGAGGACTGCAGTACTCTACACATACTTCCAGCAGTTGCAAAGGAGCAGGATAAGCATCAATCTGTGTAAGCCATTATCTACATCATGCTCTCTAACTGTCAAATGTTTTTGGAAGCTCATGCAAAAAGGTGTTTTACATGGGATCTTAATGGGAGGGTTGCTGACTCCATTGGGCAGGGCATCTTTAACAGTTATTTTCCTCTACTTCTATAGTGAAAGCACACAAACGATTGCTGGATGACCCTTAACAATGAGAAGGAAGACCTCCAAACCACATATTTGTATTATGGCCCTTTCTCTTCTGCAAATCCCCTGAAATTTATGTAGAAGAAACCCACAGGACCTGACTCCAGAGAGCAAGTTCATAATTTCACATGGTTGAAATATTGGTGGGAGCATTGCACAATTCCACTTTGTAAAAGAAAATGTATAGTGTGTATGGTAATGTGGAGGCTCCAGTTCTCTCCTTTCAACTCAGCTTGTTAATTGTTGTTATATTTTATATAGTTGTTAATTTCCAAACAAGTTGTCATTTGCAACTTTAATCTTCTGTTGCTGTGCTAATACCTTCTGGGCTTTTTTTTCAAGGCACGAAACAAGTGTTTTTATTCCTATTTTTCTTAAACTCTGGCAAACCATACCTGAATTTATCTAGGTTTCTAACATAATTTTTCACCTTTGGTGTCTTTTAACTCCTTTACAGTATAAAGTTCCCCCAAAGCTTACTTATCACTCCTTTTCTTCACATTTCACTCTATCCTTTGTACATGTCCTATTTTCCTTCTCTACTCAACAAATCCTCATATCCTTAGATTTCCAAATATTAGATCCAATTCAATGCCTTCTGAGTCCCAAGAGATGCCAGTGCCTGTTAGTAGCAGCACAGACAAGGGACCCTATACATAGTAATTTATATACCTGAAGTTCTTAGATGGGGCATCCAGAGCATGTAGAGCAAACAACCCAATGTAACCAATGACAAAAGACCTAAAAGGAGTACAGTCAATTGGCTGGGTGGCAGAATAGAAAGAATTAGTGGACAGCTTGTAGGGGATGTTGTGGACAGTGGACATAGACACGGGGCACAGGTTTACAAGTTCACAAGTTGTTCCCAAATTGGTGATTGCAGCTGGTGCTTAGAAAAATATGCAGATTTTCTTTCCCATGTAGCAATATTTCAGGCATGGGTTGATTATGAAGGTGTCACAGTAGTCCATGATAAACTTAGCCATTGCACTGGAAGACTGTGGGGAGATTAAATTTGGGAGTAAATATAGAGTCTTTGATTATAATCCCTACTGATACCAGTGTACACAGTAAACTAGATGTAGATTAAAAAAACCCAACAACTGAGAGATGAGGCCTTTTGGGTTTTGGTTTTTTTTTCCAGTAATGGGTATTCTTATACTGGATGAATCCAAATTCTTTGATACAACTACAGACAATGTATTTAAGTAATGTATATGGATGCTGAATGTTTTGTGTATTTGTCTCAGTGATACAACATGATGCAGCACACTGGACTGTAGATTTCTAATTGATTGGATAGCCCATTCCATGCTGATTTTTCATTAGAAAAAAATCTCTCAGGTTGTTTCCTTAGGTTTTAATAATACAGGCCTCAAATTCACATCAGTAAAACTTCAGTGAAGTTGAAGGAATTGCCTCAAGAATGAAACAGGTTTGCTATTTTGCTATTAAGATGCATGGAGTTTCCTTGCCCATGAAGTGGAATGGCAGGGTACAGGGCGACATTGCCAAATGAAATTGATTTAGAGGTGGTTATATACAGGCAGTGCAGAACACTATTTGCGGTTCAATTACTGCATTCAAACAATAAAAAATCCCTACAACTACTAAAGACCTCTTTTTAGAAACCTGAGAGGAAATGGATGAAACAGGAGTGTGACCTAGTCTTGCAACAGTGAGGACAATAAAACCATACTCAAAATGATTTATTCAATGCTAATAAATACCATCAGATATTCCCCCCACCGAGGACTATTTCAGTGCAGTTTTTGTGCAAGCAGAAATGTAATCCAGAGCTGCATGCTAAAGCCATTGCAAATGTATGCAGATGTCAGCACTGGGGAAAAGTAAACCGTACAACACTAAAAATATAAACAGAAAGCCTCCAATGTGAAAATAAAATCTTAAAATTGTTACTAAATGCAACCAAAGAATGTTTTGGAAGGTAGTAACAAGACCATTAGAGAAGCTGTTTACCTATCTGAGCCTGACAGTCAGTAGAGGTTCAAGATCAGCATGAGAAAAGAAATTTTAAAATAAACACACACTGAAATTTAGAAAAGGATGAGATTCTCTTTGCAAACAAATCACACCCACTGATCTGAAAGGAGTTTACAGCATATAACAGAACTTGCAGTGTAAAAAGAGGAAAGCTATATGGAAGGCAGAAAAAGATGAAAACAGGAAAAGCATTTCATTGGGGATTATTTCTTTATATGGCTTTTTGCAGACATTGGTTGTGTGATATGACAAAGAGGAATAACATGAACAGAATGAAACAGAATTTGCAAGAGAAAAACATGTCTAGAGGTATAGGCAAAACTCTAGAAAAGGCTCTGAAGAAGAAGAATATGCAGTATGAATAGCAGACATATGGAAAGACTAGTACCGAAATGCAGAAGAAAAACAGAACCACAAGCGTTTCTTCTTTTAGAGCAACTGGCGCACCAGTTTTCCATGTCTTGCGTTGAATAAGATTGCCAGCCCCTCAGAGCAGAGACTGACTGCTTCTTACAGTGTGTTTATAAAGTGTGGCACAACAGAGCCCTTATTCTGCATGGAGCTTTGGGGCATTACACTAATAACAGGACCTCCTTTTTTAAAATGAGTTTCTGAGTTGTGAGAACAATTTGGCAGTGATTATGACTGACAATATGCTGTCAATGTGATGTTTTTTGTCCCAGTGCTCCATGGCTGCATAACTGGAGGCATAACTGTAATCTAAACTACGAACTCATTTTAATCTAAAAAAAATCTTAAAGCACTTACCTATAAGAACAGAGCTCCCTGGACTGACTGTCATTTTTGTTCCTGAAGGAGAGGTCAGCACTGAACGAGTGTTGGTCCCAGCACTGGAAAGCACTGCTGTCAAGTCTTCTAGGTAAGGAAGAGGTCGTGGAGGTTCTGGTAACAGATTGGGGAGACTGAAGTGATCAGCAACGCTATGCAGAAAACATCTCAGTGAAAAAACTCACCACCAGCTATTGCTGCATTATTTGCCATGCTGCAATATTACCTTTTCAGAGGGGTAGTCTAAGCAACTTTGAGGAACTACTAAAGGTGTGCTTTGCCTCATATTAGGTAAGGCACTAGAGAAATGATTAAAATAACATTTGGATCAGTATGACCAGAAAATAAAAGAAATTCTGTCTGAAGGTTATCATGGCATTCTGGTTGACCTTATTCATATTTGACGAAGGTACATGCTATCAGGAGATACAGCAGTTTGGATGAAAAAGCAAATGTATACAGCATAGGAGCCAAATCAAATGCCCATGGTAGTCAGTGGAAAACTTTTTAAAGTCTGCTACAACCTGGATCAAGCCCTGATTAAATATGGTTATAACCCTGCCAACTCCTGAGGTATACTTAGGCAGAGCTCCAAAGCACTAAGAAGAGTTTGGAGCTCAAGAGGATCAGTCTATGCTGAGTACTGCAGGATTTAGTTTTTTACTAACCGTAATGCTATTTTAAAAATCAACTATGTTGCCTATCATTCCCAACCCTATTTGTGATGGAAATGATGGGATATTTGATTTCAGTTAATGGTGGCTTGACCCCCTTTCAATCAGATCAAGGCACACACTAAGCAAGTTTTCTATTGCTGATCACATTCAGCACCAGAAGTACAAGTCATAGATGCTTGAACTGTTTCTTTCCATCAAGGCACTAAAAATGTGATTTGCCTACAAGCTTAAGCAGCTTGCATAACTCCCAGTAACTTTCCATCTTTAAAAACTAAGCCATTTATAAAGATCAGAAAAGGTTTTAAAGATCATTTGGGAGATTTTATTTATAGGCTGAAACACATCTGATTTTTTTTCCCATTTTTTTTAGACTGAGTTTTTAGAGCCAGTCTGGATTCATAGGGAAATCATGTGAACATTCATAAAGGAGTTTTAGTGTTGACTATGAAACTGAAAAATCACACTTTATAACTTCCTCTGGAAGCTGCATCACCCATGGGACCTGTGCTCATTCTAGTCATGAAAGATGAGAGCTGTAATGGATGCTTTAATGGTGTTGTACCAGTAACAGGGACTAGGTTTCAAAATTTGACACTTCACTATCAAATATACAGAAGCACTTACAAAGTCTGGCTGGATCGTTCATCTGCCAGGCATGGAGAAATGATAGAAGATGAGTTACTAGGAAAGGAAACCCCTTTCCCACACATCCAGTTACCACCAGGTAACACTTCCACCCATACTTCACAGCTGACATTGTCTTTTCAAATCACCCAGTTGGGCTTTCTGTCTGTTGTTTAGAAACACAAGAAAAGTAAACTTCACCCTCCACTGAACTTGGGAAGGGCTTTTTAAAAGCACATTGAGTTTATGCACCTGTTAAGTGTGAAATAGGTCAGTATCACACAACCATGTATAGGAAGGCTACTCAGCAGAGGCAGAGCACTTCACAGGGAAAAAGTGGCATAATTCTCATTTCAAGAGAGCCACTTTAAGAAATGGTTAATAAATGCTTTTCTTAGCTAGTAAATCTGAAAGAATGAAACTGAGTGTCCCAGGACTGGGAGATACAGTCCCTGTGCTTAGACATTTTTTTCTCACCCATCTTTGTTTTACCACCACCTTGTTTCAGGTGATGCTGCCCAGAGAACAAATGCAGACAAATTCTTTGCTTAGAACAGGGTGGCCTGTAGGCCATTTCCTCTTTCCATATCCTCTGATTAGTTCAGGCTGTATGTGCCAGCAGTCACATTACTATTGCTATAAGTGCAAAATAACCTGGACTTACCGAGAACCAACAGCTGGGAGCTTTCAGTTACCTCCCCACGAAGATTGGCTGCTTTGCAGGAGTACAACCCCTGATCTGACAGAGAAACATTTGCAATTAGCAGCAAGCCATCATGCACATGGTGAGTAGAGGACAGCTTAACCTTGTTCTTAAACCAAGTAACTTCTGCTTCAGGAACACCTGGAAAAACATTGACAAAACATAACACAAGTAAGATATAGTGGTTGCTAAATAGTGTTATGGTGGCTACAGACAAAACTGTTAATATAGAACAATTAAAACAAGATTTTAATATGACTTCCAAGTGACTTTTTTGCAGTTCAGAAGTCTTTAGTCAACTCTTTCACATTGCCTGCCTTTATGTGTCTTAGATCCCTCTGAGGCAGAAGGGGAAGAGTTAAAACCAAACGGAAGTCTTCCTTTTTAGTGCCGCAGAATTGTACAAGTGGAGTCTGAACTCATAACTTTTAAAAGCAAGCCTTTATTAGAGCAGAACAAAGGTTAATCTAGCCTAGTATCCTGTCTCTGGAAGAAGCCATAAACTGGTGCCTCTCCCAGCCTCCCACTAGTTTCAGCTCAGGAACTTTCTGAGCAAGAAATAGTTTCTGTGCAGCCCTCCATGGACATCTATTAATTCATCTAATCTTCCTTTTTGAAAATGTGCAAACAATTAGCATTTACATCTTCAGAACAGCATTTTCACTGGTCTCACCAGGAGTCTTCAGACAACAGATTGTTACAGATTCATAATCCCCTATAGGAAGAATTGCCTCCTTTTGTGTGCTTGCTTCTCAGGTCCAGCTATCTCTGTTGGATTCCTACCCTCTTGTAGGAATGGGTTCTGATGTGTAACTGGCAAGATCTCTGGTCTTGCAGTAGATAGTACTTGGCAGAGGGATTTCTACCTCAATTTAAATGCATACCAGATCAGGTAATTTAGTGTCACTGACTACTAAACAATTGGTTTATAAGAAATGGTATTGGAAGTCTTAGTAGGTAGGCTAGACCTATGGAGCTGCGCCTGGGAGGAAATTATACTGTGTGGACCCCTGCCTGTAAGGAGTAGTGCATCACTAATCCCAGTAACTGCTGGAGTCCATGCCGTCCCATATGTGGTACTCTGTATGTGGGAGGTAGTTAATCTCTTTCACATGAACATTTGTAGGGCTACAAAGATGGTTAGCGGCCTGGAGCATCTCTCATATGAGGAAAGGCTGAGAGAGCGGGGTCTGTTTAGCCTGGAGAAGAGAAGACTGGGAGGGGATCTCATCAAAATTTATAAATATCTAAAGAGGGGATGCCTAGAGGATGGGGCCAGACTCTTCTCCATGGTGCCCAGTGACAGGACAGGGGGCAACGGGCACAAACTGGAACACAGGAAGTTCCATCTCATCATGAGAAAAAACTTCTTTACTGTGAGGGTGACAGAGCCTTGGAACAAGCTGTCCACAGAGGTTGTGGAGTCTCCTTCTCTAGAGATATTCAAAATCTGCCTGGATGCCATCCTGTGTAACCTGCTTGAGGTGATCCTGCTCTAGCAGGGGGGTTGGACTAGATGATCTCCAGAGGTCCCTACTAATCTGTGAATCCAATTTCCTTGTGTCTACTGTAGATTAAGGGCATGTGTACAGGCAGTTATTCTTAAGTATCTGCTACCCACCTAAATCCTTCCCTGCCTTATGGCACAGTAACATGTTCTGCCCATTGTCAATACCCTTCTGGTTGTGCCTCCATGTCAAAAACCAAAACCCATTCTCTTTGTCAATTCTGTGTCCCTGGCACCAGAAGTACCTCACTTCGGCTGTGCTAACTGAGCACGACTGCCCATTTGTCTGTATTTGTAGTGACTGCCTGATTGCAGGTGCATCACTAAGCATGTGCAGATGGAAGTGGGAAAGGGAGATTTTTCCCTATTCTTCCACATCAAAGCATTGTGGCCTTTTTTCCACCTCTCCCCGAGTCACCTGGTGACTTTGCCAAGACATCTGGAATGAGTATGTCTGAGCTTGGCAGCCAGGAAGGAAAGCTGAAGCCCTGTGAGGGCAGAGGGTCTCATCCACATTCAGAAAGTAGCAGGAAGCAGGCAGTAAAAGACTGCAGGCTTTTTCTCACCTTTGTCTGAGGGTAAACAGCATTTGCTATTCTGAACCCTTCATGACGTATCCAGAGAACTAATCATTCTTGTCTATGATGCTGTTTTCCAAAGGCTTACCCTTGTTTGTGTTGCTGCAACTCAGCTTTTTTAAAAGGATGGGCTGTTGTCCTGTTTCTGACACCCCCACTGGGATAGGACCAGCACACAGCTCTCCATCTGGCTGCTACTCTTTGACCTATGTGGCATGGGTGGGCTGACCACCACTTAAAACCTCACTCTGATTTTTTCCAGAGCATCCAGGCAGAGTCCTCAGAGGAGTTCAGGCAACCGCTGGATAGCAAACAACCTCAACCGTTGAGTATATTCAAGCCTGCATGTTTATTGTGTTTCCATTGCAGGGAAAGAAAGTTTGAGACTTGAGCTCAGAGAGCAAAGGAGAGAAAATGGAGACTTTTCCAGTTCTGCAGTCCCCGAGATGGAAAAACTCTTGCACGCCAGTACTTGTCCTCCCACTGCCACGCTAGTGAAGGGATGATCCACTCTCTCTGTCTCACAGTCTAAGCCACTTACAGTGCACAGGTTTTCACATTATGGCTATTGCCGAACTTAGGCATGGAAATATCAAGACATGTACCTCAGAAATAAACAATCATAAGATTATAAAATTATAAAGCTTTCTCAAATTCCAACCAGGGGTCATCATCTTTCTTTGTTTTCAAGACTAAAATTAGGTAGACCTTTTAAGTTTTTCTTGACAATAAAGGAAGATGACTTCTTTGCCTCAGTCTTCACTGGCA